TAGGGTGTATTATAGGGTCAGGGTTAAGACGACTTCGGTTTACTTTTATGTATGGCTAGTTTTAGGATTAGGACATGGGATTATTTATTCTTCCTGGAATTAAACACAGTATCACTTTCATTACTCGGATGAGACGTCCTTATCCCCGTGTCCGGTTTAGCGGGACACATACAATCCTTACTGTTGGGATTAATCAATGACGGAGGTACCATGAAGCTCCTGTTCGCCGTGCGCCATGCAGCATTTGAGTCCTTTAAGCGTCTAACTAGACATTAAAGTTTGTTTTGGGAGCTGTGGTCATGCCTGTTTTAAGTGCCTTGATTAACGTCTCACCCATGTTAAGGATTGCGGCAGGTTAGTTTAATTAATTTCGTTCTGCCTCAGAAACGAACACCAGAAAGTCACTTAGATTGGATCGTATCGAGTCGAATTTGGGCCAGTGCTATGGAACGAATGCAATAAGTGCCATAGAATTTGCCTTCTGCAAGACGAATTAAATGTGCTTCTTTTGATCATTCATTCGCGAACCATAATGGTCAAAAATGCCCATTTAAACCCATCTTCGACACGCAGGGCTCACCTTTCACTATCCTAGGAAAGGACCCACAGGGGAACTGTGTCATATATACGTTGATTTTTCCAGCGAATGAGACCGATTCCGTGACACATTTGAGTCCTGTATAAACTTTCCGCATCTATACTGCCGGATATTCTTGCCGAAAAGTATTTTAACATTGAGTGGCTAAACGGGCTTCTTTACATAAAGCATGCCGAATTTATCAGACCTTTCCTTTATTGCCGTATTTGGGAGTTAATCTTGTTAGCCTACAGCTGAATTCGCACCTGATTGCTTAGTAGACCTAAAAGTGTTAACCTGGATCACTTAGTAGCACTTCCATGCGTCCTTAACTTGGGTTCTTTTACCCGGACCCAATTTCATTGGCTATATTTGTTGCATTTATTTCTCGCTAAAGAAATCGAAAACCTTCTTTTTGAATCTACTTTGTTTTTTTCTCTAAAATTCTTATTTCAGGGAAAACTTCCGTAACCAAAGACGTATCTATCCCGCCAGCCGAACAGGAGCAAATCATGCCAAATGTCAGTACGATACACTTTGCTCGGCTTTTATTTAAAATTGGCCTAGTATGTATCTGTATATACTGCGCTGTACTGTAAACAGTATTGCCGGCACAAGTACTAACTAAACACTTGTACATTCGTTTCGCCGATCTATGCAAGATAACATTACTGACAAAGACAGAGGAGACTGGAATGACTATTTCTGCCTTATTTGCCATGTAATGATTTGAGAACTTTTGAAGTGCAAGCCATTTAGTTCAGCGACCGGGACACGAGCTTTTAGGATCAGACCAGAGATTTATATATCAAGGGTGGCAACCGAGAATAAGGCTATATTAACAAAGTTTTTTCGATTGTGTCCTGCCTTCATTCAGCCAATCACAGCCCTGATCACCGCTTGCGTACGATGCATGTGGTCCACCACCTGGGTCTACCACTTGGGTCTGAGGTACCTCATCATACCGAAGTTCATCAATTCCTCATCACTTGTCGTTTACTGTCATTGCAAATCGAGTATTTAATGATTAAAGGATGAACGCATTCATTTCTGGAAACACACAAACCGTTACTTTACTACTACCTGGCCTGTACTCTTTCACAGTAAAGGTAGATATTATTGACGTAGCAGGGTGATGAACAAGAGCGAGGCTATTGCAGTTCCTTATGAAACACAGATTGGCTTGAGGTTGTCGGCAAACAATAAGATTTATGGTTGTCTACATATTTCTTGGTCCGTTTTTTACGGCATGTTTTATGCCCTTTAAATTTTCCAACACACTTGAAACATTCTCGAATCACCGATTAAACTAGACCGTCGCTTTAGAAAGGGCTGTCTTTTATGTGCCACGTTTCTTAAATAGTCTTTTTTAGATTGACTTTGCGAGTTTGCTATTACTAGAGTCACCTGATGAACTGCTCCAACTTTCGATTATTGTCTTTTTAAGCTCTTTCTCCACCAAAACCTGTATTATGATCTTGTCGCCTACCAAGCCTTATTTTTTTGTTGTTTGCTAGTATGATGATACCGCTGATGACTACTTGGAGATGTTCATCCAGTTTGGTTTTGTAAGCATGTTCACCTGTGCCTTTCCTATCTGCGGGCTACTGGCTCTTCTGAACAATATATTCGAACTTCGAGGAGACGCCTGGAAACTCGTTGTTATCTTCCGACGACCCTTTGCTCAACAGGCCAATGGCATAGGAGTCTGGGAGGTAGGTTCGAGTGTGTGCAGTTGCATCTAATCTTAGACTGTCTTTCAGTCTTCTTTGTGAAAAATTGGGTGAATCTCATTTCTCATGCCAATTTGTCGTGGAAAGCATGCACCCATTTGGAATAAAAAGACGTGATGTCAGGACACAAACGTTAATCGACTGACGTTTCAGATTGTGTCTCGAATGTCCTTAGATACATCATACCTCATGCGCGGGGAATTGGACCTTAAAATCAAAGTGTTCAGAAAAGCAACAAATAAGATGCAGGTACTGTGCTTTAGCAGCAACCACCCACAAACAAAACTGCTTAAGGGTGCCATATTGGCGTATTGAGACGCACTGTAGTGAACAGGAAGATGGGATTGTTCGATCTAAATATCCCGACGGATTTTCAGAATATTGGTACCCGCGCAACTTAGTCAACCAGTGCAAGTACAAACGATATGAGTGAAAAAATTACGCTGGCTGTAAATTTTAGCGAACGCTTTCTTATGCTAAGAACATCTCGTAGGCAAACCAGCCGCTTCTCGCACAATTTGGTGTTGTAGTCGAACACAGACTGGAGGCAACCACTACACGTCAGGTAATAAAACTTAAAGACCCACTGCCGTGGCAAAAAACGTCTGGGGCCGTTTATCAAATCTGGTGCAGTTGCGGGCAACTACGCAATTACGTAAGGGAAAGTGGTGCACTGGCCTGGCCGGGGATGGCCGAACACACGGCAGCAGAATGGACAAATGACGCTAATGCTCAACTATTTGAGTCGTAATGCACCAGTCCCCAGCATATTGCTGAGTGCAGTAACCTGTTCACCCTTAATTCGCTTAGCCAAAGTAATTAGCAATTCAGGGGCACACATACGAACATATTCCAACGCTAATGCCGGTAGACCAGATGGCCGAGCCGTCATCGAATCAACATCTAGCGCGGCTAATCAGATTCCAGCGGTTAACAACTTTAGTGGTGACCATCAAGCAATTGGCGCACCAGAGGGCAACCATCCTTGATGGAGGGGGGAGGATGTTTATTGTCATAGGTATGCCGTTGCCTAGTTACTGCATCTTCTAATAACTGCAATTCCCTGTGTATGAATTACCCGTATCTGCTGATGTCTGAAGCTGAATTCGAGCATGAATCCAAAGCGTCCCGTAAATAAGATTCTTGTCCCACTGATTGTGTCTACTTCTCACTTACTTCTTAGACTTCGCATTTTCGCTTGTATCCACAATATGCACTTAGGTTTGCCTTCCCGTTGTTCTTCTATGTGAACGGATATTTTGCCATATTTTGTCCAGCAGCGGACGATTTTTTCCCTTTTGGTCGTTGCGCTGCCAGTTCCTGAAGTGATTTACTTTGAGATGGTCATGATCGGTTTCTGACTTTCCCTCCCTAATCCCAACCGTCGGTTATTCTGGTGTCTGTCTGTTAGGAAGTCGTGTTACCTCATATCCTGCCTATAAAGAACGGCAGCGCAAATCGACACTGGATTGTGAACTTGCTGTACGCCGGTTAGCTAACGTCAGCTAACATCATCAGTAATATTGGTTAGATTTGTGCTAAAAACAGATTCATCTGCCGGCCCTTACTTTTGTGCATCAGCATTTAGCTTCTGAGCGCAGTTCGTGGTGCATTACTAGTTATCCTTAAGACGCATTGCCTTGTACTTTGACGAGTTCGGGTGATGCCGTTTTTGTTATGCTCTTGTCGGCACCCTTCCGTAGACAGTGTTTATTAAGAAGTAGGATGCAAAAGCTAGCTCTTTGGCTGGTTCAGTAGCTTTGGTTTTCAACGGTGTCTGTCCGCGAAACACATTCGAGGGTGGATCTTTCTGTAAAATTGCACAGGGATTACGTAAATGAATCCCTTTACATGCATCGACCGTTCGTCAGAAGCAGACAACCTTAAGAAATCAGCTTTTATCGGCATTTGTTGTCGTGGTTTACTATGGCATTGATCGAAATAGGGCATTTTTCTAGACGGAACTGGTCGACATTTAAATGTTCGTTCTTGGCTTTAAATCAGTTTGATTTTTGATCCATTAAGGATGGTCACTTTTTTTCTTTCCTAATAGCACGCATTCGATGTTGTCAGTTACGTGGCCATAGCTGTTAATATCGGTCTTATTGGCGTTTCTGGCAGCTTGGAGCTACTGGTTCCCGGCTTGAGAGGCATTGACTACGTTCTGCTTCTAATTGCCATTGAGGTACCTTTCTGTAAAATCTACCGTTTTGATTAAAGTATTTACTTCTGTATGTTTTGCTGTTGAACCAAAAAATTATAAAGCCTCCTTAATCTCTATTGCCCTTTCTTTCTGTATAGCCATTTGTGCTAGGGCTTTGTATATAAAATCGTAGATCGATTCTGAAACTAGTTTTTTTCACTGTAGACATTACGGCGGTTGCTCAGAGCAGTACACATAATCGATGACTTAGAGTTTCGCTAGGTCACTTTGACACATCCACTAACACGAATTTTAAATAGAGTTTAGCATCTTTAGAGGTTCACATAACTGTTTTACTTCAATGTGTACTTCCGAGTAGCAGACTGTTCCTTCGAGTTACTTTTCAAGTGTGCCGGCTTGCAATTTAATTTCTGCTTTGGACTCACAAATACCGAAATAACTAGTGAATGCATCCTGGGGAAAAAAATTTAAAAAATAACCCTCGCCACACGCGTCATCGTAACTACGATCAGTTTGGAGCTTTCAGTTTGAGCAGTCTGTTCCAAGACACAAGTCTAATGTAATAACAGATTGGCTGTCTTACTTGGGATTATTTCTATCCCCTAGGTCGTTGCGCAAGCACAGCTGAGTGACGTCCTATTCTCCTTGTTACTAGTGCCCTCCTAGTCATACTGACCCAGGATGCACTTTTGCCTATGTTCACTTCTCATATCCCCTCGCCTCTTCTCTCTGACCCGTGGGGATTTGGCCACGTGTCAGTTTGAACTAGTTTGCACACTAAACGCAGAAGGTGGCTCCTAAGACTGCTTAATCGAATTCAATAGAATAGCATTTCAGTGCTTATACAGCAGCTGGGTATAACGTTGGGACCTTAACTGCAATATCGTCTTCCTCTTCCGCTGCTCTAGCACGTGTTCTTTGTTCTACGCTACGGTCTCGCGCGCATGGTTCCCCCGATTCCCTCTGCGGTAGAAAGAAAAATGGCAATCTTGGAACACAAACGAAGGGAGGCTCTGCGGGTGAGTTCCCAGTTACACGCACCGAGTGTTGGGTAAATTGGGGCAAGAAGACAATATGAGGTGGATACTTGCCTGTCTCTCTTGGATGATGTTGCTCATCGTCCTTTTTGACAGACGAGTTAGGTCAGCAGTTTCGCAACTGATTGTTGCTGTATGGCAACTGCAATTCCGCGGAAGGTTATATTCTTCCTCATCGAACCTACGTTTTAAGAGCTGGATCTTGAGTTCTCACAGTAATCGGAAAAATAATTCATTCTTTTGCGTTGACCCAAGTGTGAAAAACTCTAGGGTCAACTCAAATTAAGCAAATCTGC